AAGTAAGTCAGTCAGTAAATAAGTAAGTAAGTCAGTAAATAAGTCGGTAAGTAAATAAGTAAGTAAATAAGTCGGTAAGTAAATAAGTAAGTAAATAAGTCGGTAAGTAAATAAGTAAGTAAATAAGTCGGTAAGTAAATAAGTAAGTAAGTAAGTAAGTAAGTCAGTAAATAAGTCAGTAAGTCAGTCAGTAAGTAAGTCAGTCAGTAAGTCAGTAAATGTCAGTAAGTTAGTAAATGTCAGTAAGTCAGTAAATAAGTAAGTAAATAAGTAAATAAATAAGTAAGTAAGTAAATAAGTAAATAAATAAATAAATACACACACACTGCCTATGCCATGGTCCAGTATAATCTGGTGGTGGGTAGCCAAACCAGGACCAGGGTGTTGTTTCATGACCAGATACCAGCACAGTACATTCCTTGATTTATAAATAAAATTAAATTTCCCTGAGATAGTTAGCTGCAGAAACAAACCGTCTGACTCTACAACATGAATCCCTGCTCAGCTGAAGGCCACGGTCACTTCACTTTTTTCCCTGCCTGTCACCGCTCGGCAAAATGCTAATTAAATGCAAATTGGTGTAGACTGTCAGGGCAGAACTAACGTTGTAGCCGAGAGGTGGGCTGAGGTGAAGGTTTTGTTAATGACACCGAGCAGCCAGCTAAAGTGTGCTGTTAGCGCTGCCGGGGTGCTCCGTCACACCAACACAAGCCTCATTAGAAAGCCTTCGTCCCGTGGATGTGAGGGTGCGGGGCGACGAGCTGGGATTTGTCAAGACATAACTAGTGGGCTTAACCTTTTCACAGAATATCACAATGAGGAGTGGTGCAGAGTGTTTTATCTGCATTTTTTCTCACGTTTCATTTTTTAGTTCAAAGAACAGAGTAACTTGAAATGTTTGCAGTGGTCTGATACAAGTGCTAAACATTAAAATTAGGAACAATCAGACTGAGTCACAGTAAATGTATACTGAATTTGCATTGGTTTTTTTAAATGAAATGAATGAATAAAGTAAACTAAACTAAAAACTAAATAGAATATTAAACTCAAGGTTTTATTGTAAAAAATCATGTTAGCAGGTCTTTAAGTTAACTGAATAAAATTTAATTCTTGAAAGTACAAAACAGGCGAAGGTGGGCCCGATGGATAGCCCTTCATTAGAGCTAAACAACAACAAAAATCGGAAGCTCCAATGTTGGATAGTTTTTGAGTTATAAGCGGTTTTGTCTGTCCAGACACCCCCCTTTTTTAGATGGAGCCCCCTCCTCAAGTATGGGGTCTATCGTAAAACCGTTGGCTGGAGCAGTGTAGGTCGGACACATGTACGTTCCTGCCAAATTTTATTGGTGCAGCCGTTTCCGTGAAATGATTGACCAAAAATCACTGGTAAAAAAACAAAAACAATACAAAAACATTATAATAAATATATTACGAGGAATATAAAAATAAAACTACAAACAGATATTTACTGCCCGAGACTCTTTCTTTCGTTCGTTGTACGGAGCCGTTCAAAAGATTTGGATCGTTTGTGAACGTCTCATCTCTACTAACCAGTAAACTGATCATGACGAACACAGAGTTTATAATGTTTATTAAATATATGTTTTTAAAAGGGCCTCGTTCCATTTTTTTTTCTTGTTGCCCTTCAGGTGATGGCGGCGTACAACTTCACCGCGAGGGAAAGCCACGAAGTTTCTGTTCAGGCCGGCGAGCCTGTTCGAGTCCTGGAGCCCCACGACAAACGAGGGAACCCCGAGTGGAGCCTGGTGGAGGCTAGAAGTGGTCAGAGGGGCTACGTGCCCTCCAATTACCTCACCATGATGCCTTTGGGGGCGGGGCCTCCTGGCTTCAGGTTCTGATAGGACGAGGCGAAGAAAACAGCAACAAAAGCTTTAGGTGCAATTTACTAAATGTTCTAATGAAGCTGCAGCTACTACTGAAACAATACGTTTTATCTTCATATTTTACTGTCACAATCTGGTTTTAGCTAAATATTCCTGTTGAGTTTGACAACTTTAATTTTTTAAAAATTGATCATCACAGCCTTTTTTAATGACACTTCCTGGGTGTCTGTGGCTGTGAATGGATTTAAACATCACGAGGTGATTTTAAACCATTTTATCCGTTTTATTTTTTAGTCCAGATTTAAGCTATATTTACAAAAACAACATAAAAAACTCAATTTCTGCTTCATGCAAAGCCAAAAACATAAATTTATACACTTTTTTTTCTGAAAGGGATTCAGACCTAAGTTTGTTCTAATCCTGCAGGAAAACAAAACCTGCTCACTTACTGTATTTACAACGTATGGCGCGGTATGAGGGCCACAATTAACACTACTGCACAACCAGCGATTGCTACATCCTTGTAGCAGGAGGCTGTATCTATTCCTAAACCTGCTGTTGATCTGATTAATGACAGGCCAGCACCGCTAACTGAGAGGCCAGAGCTGGTAAATGAGAATGAGACTATTCATTTGTGTTAGCATTGGAGAGGCTAGCAACTAGCATGGATAAGCTGGTGTTAGCATTGGAGAGGCTAGCGACTAGCATGGATAAGCTGGTGTTAGCATTGGAGAGGCTAGCAACTAGCATGGATAAGCTGGTGTTAGCATTGGAGAGGCCAGGGACTGTCATGGATTGGCTAGTGTTAGCATTGGGGAACCAAGCGACTAGCATGAATAAGCTGGTGTTAGCATTGGAAAGGCTAAGAACTATTATGGATAGGCTAGTTTTAGCATTGGGGAAGCTAGTGACTAGCATGGAAAGGCTGGCGTTAGCATCAGAGAGGCTAGTGACTAGCATGGATAAGCTGGCGTTAGCATCAAAGGCTAGTGACTAGCATGGATAAGCTGGCGTTAGCATCGGAGAGGCTACTGACTAGCATGGAAAGGCTGGCGTTAGCATCAAAGAGGCTAGTGACTAGCATGGATAAGCTGGCGTTAGCATCGGAGAGGCTACTGACTAGCATGGAAAGGCTGGCGTTAGCATCAAAGAGGCTAGTGACTAGCATGGATAAGCTGGCGTTAGCATCGGAGAGGCTAGGAACTATCATGGATAGGCTAGTGTTAGCATTGAGGAGGCTAGTGACTAGCATGGATAAGCTGG